GCGCGGACCCGGCCGGCGTCTCGCCGCGTCTGAGGAGCGCGCCCTCCCTGTTTAAGCGGATGGCGCCTTTCGGCCGCCAAGCGTAGTTGCAGCGCCGAAGCTTCCAGAATTTGTGTACATAGTTTCCCACCAGTTTGGAGCCACCAACTCTGTGTTTGTCGACATCGTTTTGTTAAAATCTATGTTGCACGGAGAACCAAACTCTCCGGAAGGAGAATAGGCTCAAAACTCAAGGCCCTGGCTTAGCATCCGTCCTTTACAACGAGAGAGCCAAGTGCAAAGAGAGATTCTAGCTGGATTGAGTAAGGGGAAATTCCCATCTGTCTCCGACATTAAAAAAAAAAAAGTGTCTTCAAATAGTTAACACTGTTAACCTCCCCCACCCTGAATTTTTAGTGCAGTTATTGGAACTAGAAAAAAAATTCCCTCCAAAAATCTCAGGGGCTACTTGCTAAAGACTGTGTATTTCGTGGGTTTTTTACCCATGAAGTTAAATTTAGTCGTTTCTCTGCGAAATAGTTCTTCAAGAAAAGAAGACCTTTTATCTCCCCAAATTGTGTGAAATGCAAGACCCACGTACTTGTGTCTTGGAAAATTTCATTTGCAATTTATTACTAGAAATTGGATTTTAAAAAACATAAAAATCTAAACGAAACTAACGTGTTGGCAACTTTACTGGGTTTTCATCTCAAAAAGAACAGCAACTGAAATTCTACTAAGTAAACCCATGTTAACCTAGAATGCTTTTTTCATGTTCAGTTATGTTTGTCTTATCAAAACCTTTTCCCTAGGAGGCACGTAGTTACTCTGCTTAAAAATGTTACTAAATTTAAAATTTGGGGCTTTTCCAGGGTTGCAGTGAAAGTGTTTTGAATTTTTTTTTTTTTTTTAGTTAAGTCTTTAAAAAATACAACATAAAAATGGCTTCAAAAAGAGCTCTGGTCATCCTGGCTAAAGGAGCAGAAGAGATGGAGACGGTCATCCCTGTAGATGTCATGAGACGAGCTGGAGTAAGTCCCACAAGGTTTTTTAGCCCTCCTCCCTTTTGAAACATTTTTGAATTTTTCTAAATTTTGAATAAAGTCGTATCCAGTATCCTTTATGAAACATTTCAAGCATACACAGCAGTACAGGCACGATATAATAATAATTACCTGTTTATCCGCTGTCCACATTTAATACTTGTGAATGTTTTGCCATATTTCTTTCAGATCTGTTTCTTGGAGAACAAATGCTTTAAAAGAATAAAACATGGCAAAGCCGCCTTTGTAAATTTCCCAAATCTATGCCCTTTCTGGCCCCAGAGATAACTGCTCCCCTCACATGGATGTATATCCAGCCCATGCATGTCTCTAAAGTAACATTAGATTGTAGTTTTCATTCTGCATATCTGTATTATAAATCTGTATGTGTCTATATAACCATCATGAATACCTACATAGCATTTACTGAGGGCTAGGTGTCATTCTCAGCACTTATGTAAACCTTTTTATGTGTTACAACAACCCACTGAGTTGTTGCCATTCTCATTTTGCTGTTGAAGAAACTGAGGTGCAGAGACAATCGATCAATCAAAATATTTAAGTAAATAAATAAAGTGCACATATTGTAGTAAAGATAAAGATCCAGTTTATTTAAAACTGCTGCTTTGTGTTGCACTATAGGAATATGCCCTGTCTACCCGTTCTTCTGTTGCCTTGTTTCACAGCATTATAATACTGTAATATTCTCGTACGGGTTTCCTTGCTCAAAGATGGGGAAGTTTCTCTAGGCTCTGTGCCTGAAGGAATAGCTGGTTGCGTGGTCGATGTTACTAGATGTTGTCAAATGACTTTCCAAAGTACTAAGATGTGGGCCACCAGCAGCAAGGAAAATTCCTGTTTTCCCAGCACTAGCTCTCAGTATTGCCAACTTTGTAAGTTTTTGCAAGGTGAAGTAGTATTTTGTTATTTTGATTTGTTATTAATGAAATATCATGAGGTTTAAATGGCAGCAGTAACTTTGCGAGAATGATTATTGATAGGATGGTCGTATGGCTTATCCCCCAAACCGGAACCCTTGTGGGAGAAAGAACACTCAGCAGGCAGCATGCTGGGACAGCATCTTTAATTCACACTGTCCTGGGCAAACTGGGACAGACCTAGTGATAAAATACAGCTAGCCAGCTTAATGAGCCTAAAGTCAGCATGGTTTTGTTGCGGTATTTCCTGCCAAGTTATTTTAAAACACAGGACAGCTGTGAAAATGTTACTCTAAATTTATGTTTCAGTGTTCTTAAATATCATGATGACGTCTTTCTCTTAGATTAAGGTCACCGTCGCAGGTCTGGCTGGAAAGGACCCGGTACAGTGTAGCCGAGACGTTGTCATTTGTCCTGATGCCAGTCTGGAAGATGCAAAAAAAGAGGTTTGTTGTCCAGACTTGGAATTACTCCTTTCTGCGACTTCTTTATCAATTGCTTGAGCTGTGTTTGGAGTACATGTGAGGCTGTTGTTAGCACAAACTTATTTCAGGAAAATCACTTTGCTTGGTTGTCTTTGCCACTAAATTAAGCGCTGGGAAGTGGGGGACTTTTGCTTTGCTCTGCTCTGTATCTGTACCCCTGGAGCCTGGCAGGTCCATGACCCTGCACGTGCTCAGCGTGGGTGAATGGATGGGACACTTGGACCAGTATCCTGGCTCATCCAGGCAGCCTTGCCTCTTGTTACAATTCTGTTACTTGATATCAGAGAATCAGTCCTGTATTTCCTAGTCATTTCTTACTCTTTATTCAAAAACTACTTACTACCTTTCCTCTTTCAATGACACAGACGTGGTTGTGTGATTCATTTTACGTGGAACAACTCATGCTTCATTCGTGGTTGGATTAAGGAAGGAGCAAGAGTTCTACTTAAATTGTGTCACTTTTTCAGTATCTTTAGCATTGTGGTTCTTATTTTTGAGGGGGACCAACACTTTTGGGAATCTGTCAAGAGCTATAGTCCCTTTCTTCAGAAGCAAGCCTGCCCACACAGGCTCAGACTCTTGCAGACACTCTCACAGTGCTCAGGCTGAAGGGGCCAGCATGACAGGGGTGTGGGCAGCACCCTCTGGGAGCAGAGACGTGGCAGAGAAGGACACAGAGCCAGCTCATGGATGGCCACCTGAGCCCTGCTGTGGAACCTGGGAGCGTGATTCCCTGTGCTTAGCTGTCCTCAAGTGCATAGAAAAACTTTACTCCTTTTTCATAAATTCAAGTATTTCAGTGCTAGATTGTGGAGTGTAAGAATACTGGTATTTACATATAAATTGTTGAAACTTTATAAATAGCAGGTTAAAAATGAGAGAGGATAAGTAAATATTTCTTCCCTGATCTTTTTTGTCCTGTGGTGTTTGGGTTTTTTTAAAACAGTAGTTACATTTTGTGTTCATTTATTGTTTAGTTCCATATCTAAAAGAAGTGAAAGAAAGTCTATACGTCACAAATTTTGTTTTTAGTTTTGTTTCATTTTAAAACAACATAGGAGATTTATAGTCTTTAAAGGTAATTCTAAATTGCATATGACGCACTAAATATGTACAGAATTCTCATTTGATAATTTGCTGAATGACTAAATTTTTAAAACTTTCTTAACATTTTAAAGTATTGTTAAACCTTCTATTTTGTAGTTTCAGCAAGTTTGAAACCATTAGATTTCTAGGATGTTTTGATGTCTGGGATACTAAAATTTTGCATTATTTTTATCCCCCAAGTTCCATTTTTCATAAGGTTAAATTTTTTTCTGCGTTTTAACATTTTTCTTTTAATTATGTATTACTTCGTGCATTCCTGCTGAAAAACAACTCATGCAGTATAGATCAACACAACGTCAGATGTTAAACGTCCTTTCTCATTCCCCCTCTCCCCTCATCCCATATCAGTTGGCCCACTCCTTTGTCTGTGAGTATCTGTATACTGTCCATGTGAGCGTGTGTGTGTTAAGTGTGTATACAGACACATCTGCATGCACATGCATGTGTATATATTTTGTACAAGAATGAGATTGTGCTACCCTTGCAATTCTGCAACAAGGACATCCTTTCATTTTATTATATACAGATGTTCTCTATTTTTTACTAGTTACAGCAGTATTCCATCGTAGAGAAACATCTTGCTCTATTTAAGTGTTCTTCTGTGAACAGTGTTTTGCTTATGACCCACACTTAAAATGTGAAAGTGTTTATTGTTTAATGCACATTTCAGATGAAACATTCTTGCTTTTTTTTTTTTTTAACTGTTACAGGGACCTTATGACGTAGTGGTTCTACCAGGAGGTAACCTGGGCGCACAGAATTTATCTGAGGTAAAAAGTGGGTAAAGAAGAAAAAAAAAATGGGTATAAGTGCTACTTCAACATCTCCTGATAAGAGTCTGTTGATTTTGTTATAATATTTCAGGAGGGAGGCTGTGAATAAAATAGGAAAAGATGAGATTAACAAAATGGTCTAGCTTAAGGGTTTTTCTTTTTTAGCTTTTTTTGGGAGGAGGGTAGTTAGGTCTACTTATTTATTTTTAATGGAGGTGCTGGGGATTGAACCCAGGACCTCATGCAGGCTAAACATGCGCTCTGCCACTGAGCTATACTCTCCCCCCATAACTTAAATTTTCAAAAGCATTCCTAATAGCATTCACGATAGAAGTAAGCAGAATTGGTGGGACAGTTAAGACAGAGGCTGTGGGTCCTGTCCAGATGTGAGACTGCTTATTTTCTTCCCTCGGCAGCAGCAGCACGATCTCCTTTGGGGCCTAGGACAGCTCAGGCACAGGAAGCTGAGAGACTGGCTGTCTCCTCAACGCGGGGCTTCGGTGGGTGCAGAGGGCGCCAGCTGCCAGCTGGAATGAGAAATGGCCAAATGGGGGCCACTGCTTCCTTCTTCATTTTGTCTTGTGTGAGGAGTCAGCCTGCAGCAAGGAGACAGCAGTAGGAGAGGCCGGCAGACAGGAGCTCGTGAAGCAGGTTGAATCAGCTACTGGGGACTGCGGGGCCCTGTTCCCGACTCTGCTGCCTGAAAACACCCCCAGAACCGTGTTTCCTCCCTGCCGTGTCTCTCCCTGGAGTACAGCACGGCGAGGGTTCGCGTGCCCAGGGGAACTTGCTTTTCTCATCTCAGCTTTAAACGTCTTAAGAAAAGGGTGCCTTTTTCATATAATAAATGCCGTGCTTGGGTTTAAGAATGTAGAAGCATTACAGATTTGGTCATTTTTATATTGATGATTTAGCAATATTGTTGAAAAGTAGTCAGATTGAAGATCTTGTGGTTTAAGCTAAAATCAGATTTTAGCCAGAGACTGGCTGTGGCTTGATCATAACTTGATGTGTTTTTGCTTTTCTTTGAATAGTCCGCTGCTGTGAAAGAGGTTCTGAAAGAACAAGAGAAGAGCAAGGGCCTCATTGCTGCCATCTGTGCAGGTGACGTGTAACATGTGGAAGCTGCAGAACCCACACACCGGGGTGGTCTGTAATTATAAGATTTGGTTCCAAAGACTTCTTCCCCTTCATAAAGCAGGAAAGGCGTCTGTATTGGTGTGTTCAATTTGGTGGCATGAAGTTAGTGTCATTTCAGAAATGACTACAGCCGTTCCGCTCTCTGCCTCTCCGTGCCTTTGGTCTACATTCTGTGAAACTTCGTGTTTTCTGTGCTTGGTGGACCTCAGAGGAAAATCTGGCCCCTCTGGAATTCAGCAAACAGCTGGTTGCAGCAAGTCCTGGTGCCAGAAGGTCTTTGTGCCAGCGCACTGTCAGCAAGAACCGGGCAGACGAAACAGGACGGCTCTGCCCTGGGCTTGCCCCATAGTGCCCTCTGCCGACATCGGTGCTCAGTGCTGCGTCTCGGGCACTGTGCTGCCTCCAAGTGCTTCAGAGGCAGGTTTTTGGGGCTTTATGGATGTCCTCACATCTTTGAAACCTAGTAATACTTTGTTTTCTGATAGTGCTTTAAAAATCCATTCTTTTTGCTCTACTATCAGATGATATTCTGAGTAATTTTGGCAGGTGCCTTTCTTGTTTATAGGCCTTTATTAAACGTCTGTCAAAAGAGCGAGTATATAAATTAGTGGATGTATGGACGGTTAGATAAAATGACACTTTATTTTGTTCAATACAGTAGACTTTTTAAAAGAATCCATAGGCTAGGGCCCTGGGCATTTTGCATTAGAGCAGGACTGCAGAGGCAACCGCCTGGTGGGCCCTGTCCTTGACCCCTGGTCGACATTGACCTCTGACTTGCCCTCAGGGCCCAAGGATTTGTCTCTGCTGAAGGACACTGCGGCGCAGGCAGCTGCACCCGTCTTTGAGGAGGCGGACGTAGGGCCTATTAGGTGTATAAGGACCTAGTCCAGCCCATCCCCTCCCCACTCTGCTCACCCCTCACGTCTGCCTTGCCCTTAGGTGCTTTAACCAAAGGAAGAATGGAAGGGTCTGGGCTGGCTTTGTCCTCTTAGGACTCTGCTGAAAGTCAAAACCATGTGTCCGTTTTTGTTCTGTGTCATTGAGATAGGGAAATTGTTGGCCCATCTGGCTCACTGTTTTGGGCTCAGGCAGGCCTGGGTACCACGCTCCTTAGGAACGCAGACCTGATAATCATTTAAATGGACTTCATAAGGTACACAGCGCTAATGATCTGTCTGCGATGAATCTCCTGCCCTGCTCTTCTGGGGCTGCAAAAAACGGGAAGGCGCGTGCCCGTGTGTCATGGAGACTGCGGTAGTTTGAGTGTGAAAGAGTGGCTAGTGTGAACCGTGGAAGAGATTCTGAGGTTTTAAATCGGCGGATGGAAACAAGAAGATTGCTAAGCGTTGCAGTCAGGAACTGGGAGCTGTTTATTGAACAGAAGGAACATTAACCTAACCCCTAATACTGAGTGAATGCGAGAGACAGAAATTGGAAGGGAGACTGTCTTGAGAAGAAAATAAAAGGAGATTCACTCTGCGCGGTGGGGTGGGGAAGGAATCCTCCAGGGGAAGGAGCCAGCACTTGGCCCACACGCGGCTCCAAGTACTGCCCAGGCTCAGGGGCACCTGGAGGGGCCAGGAGGTGGCCGTGGTGCTCTCTGTGTAAGTCACCACACGGTGGCACTGTTGGCCGGATCCTCTGGGCCTCCCAAGGCAACTCAGTCCACTGTACCCTCTGCTTCATGCTCAGGGCTGGATCCCTGGTGCGGACTCGGCCACACTTCATCCATCAAAAGCGCAAGTAATAGAAGTAGCTAGATATCGCCTCTAATTTTCCAAATAGGATCCTAAAGCCCCAGAAAGCAGTAATTATGAGTTTACAGCACGTTTGTTAACGTTACTGTAAGCAGTAATTTTATCACCTGGAGGGAGCAGTCTGTAAAGTCCCAGCTCACCGTGTGACCACTCTCCTCACTGTGGGTCAGTCATCGCTTGAGGTTTGCTTTACAAGAAAATGCAGCAAATTATTTACTTAAAATCTTACAAAATAAGCATTAAAGGTAATTCATGAATCCATTCAAATAAAAATTGAGTGATAATCCCTCAGTTTTTACAGACATTTGCAATTTGCTACCACACATGGTTCTCTCGCGGGTAGAATACAAGTGAGGAGGAGGGAGACGTCAAGTGTATTTAAAAGGCTTTTGACCTAAGGTGTAAGTGAGGATTGGTCTGAAACCGACACCTCCGTTGGGCAGAAAGCTTATGTAATTGCGTGTTGCTTGTTTGCGCTTCCTGTTAGTAGCAGCTGAGGTCTGAGAAGCCTGTGGGTCTGTTACATAAGAACTTTTTTCTTGGAACCGTGTTGAAAAATGAAAGGGCTGTAAGAAAGTGCTTGGGTTTGCTGAAGCTGAAGTGTACAGGTTCTGACCTGAGATCTTATCCACTGTGGCCTGACCATTTAGAAGGTCATGGTGCTCTTTTAAAGTTTCTCTAGGTGTGACATGAGGCCTTAGAAAGTTTCTGTTTGTTTTTGTTATTTTTTGGTGGCTTAGACAAAAAAAAATAGAATAACTACTTTCTTTAAAGTTTTAAGGTAAGATAACAAACATTCCCCTACTTGGGGAATGTTACCTGCGAAATATGCTTATGATTATCAGTTTTCAGTGAATACATTTGGATAAAAATCTCAACTCAGCACCTGCATATTTTTTTAAAACTCTATTTTAAGAGGGAAGGCCCAGAGGATCACAGTTGGCATTTGTGCAAGGTTCTTCTTAGTGCGTAGCTGTAAGAAAGAAAGGCCTTTATGTCTCAGACACAGAGGTGTCTCCTTTGGGGCTGGGACAGTGTTGTGTTCATTTTAATCATTCTTATCACCTGATATATTTGGATAGGCAGATAGATGAGCGCTAATTTTTCATTTTCAATTAAAAAAAATTTAGTCCGTAAAATAGCAGTTAAGCCCAGAGGTTCAAAAGGTACCAGCTGCCTTTAATGTGTAACTGAACCTTTCATTTGCAAAAGAGTAAGGCAAGGTGAGTCGCCCCTGGGGTCTCCCTCTCCTCTGTGCCCCTATTACACTTGCAGCCTGTCCCTCCTGGGGGCACGGTCTTTTACCTGTTTGCTCCTCAGGTGTCAGGGTACGTCTTTTTGATGAAATGGTTATCTTGAGTTTGTACGCTTTTGCCATATGTGCTTAGCTCAGGTGGTTTATTATAAACATACTTCAGCTCTCATACTGAGAGGCGTTTAATTTCAGAATCGTAAGTATATTTTTAGGTAAGAGCCTCCTGATTTTGAAGAATTCCTGCTGCAGTTTTTAAAGTATGGGTCTTTCTATATCTCCACTTACATCTTTTTATTTATCTTTTTAGGCCCTACGGCTCTGTTGGCTCACGAAATAGGTTTTGGAAGCAAAGTTACAACGCACCCACTTGCTAAAGACAAAATGATGAATGGAAGTAAGTGTATGCTTGTATTTTAACGTACAAAAAGACCTTCTCAAAAGCGGCCATGTGGCATTGTCTCCCACAGGTCTACATAGTTGACACATAGGGGTTCCCGGTGGGGGTTGAGGTTTGACATGTCCCTTACTTTCTTTGCAAGTGTTTTAATGCGAGAGGCGGGCTAACCTTACGAGTCTCTGTATATCCTGGAGGCGTGGGAGCTAAGCCAAAGGCCAGTGTCACAGACTGAAGTGGTTGCAAAATGCCAGTTTAATTAGTATTTTTACCAAATACTTTGCCAGCAATCTGAAGGTAAATTTTAAACCTCGATAGCAGTTTCAGAATGTGCCCTTTTGCCCACAGTCCAATGTGAAGTACACATTGCTCCGCCGTCCTTCTGAGGAGGCCTGGGTCCAAGCCTGTTCCTCGGCTGACAGATTTCTTTTATAAATATCAAGTAGATATTTAACTTTTGTTAACTTATTTTTATAAAAATAATTTCTATTCATGTTTTAAAAAATGCAAACAGCACAGAAAGGGATGAAGTAGAAAGAGATGTTCCTTTCCTCACTGACTTCCCCACCCCTTTCTCTAATAATTTTCAGAGGTAATTTCTGTTAAAAGTTTCTTGTGTAACCCTAGAATTGTCTCTGTACACCCCCCCTTATCCTTTGTGGTTTAATATTTTTACTCCAGTGAAATCTCGTAAATACATCCTGCAGCTTGCTTTTTTAACGTAACGTTACACTTTTTCTTCATAATGTATCAAAAAATTTTAAATTCTCTTATATTGCTTGTTATTTGGAGATTATTTTAAAAAAAAAAGGATGTTGTTATCTCTTAACAGCTTGCAGAGACGTGTGTATCAAGTTTTAAAATGCGAGCCATATATGATTATCCTAGCTCCTGAACGTGCAGCTGTGCCAGGGGGCCGCCGCTCCCCCAGTACCAGCCGCTGCTGCTCAGTGTGGCTTTCAGGGCACCAAGCAGTAGTGTCTTCTGTCAGACAGGAAGGGTCTTCCTCTGCCACCTGTCCCTGCAGTGCATGTCACGGGGAGGCAGGGGCCTTGGAACAGGCAGAGAGAGAGGACAAATGCAAGAGAATCAGAATTCCCAGTTAGAAGCCAAGGTGATCCGACTGGCATTCAACCAGGGGGGAGACTGAGTGACACCAGCCAACCAAAACACGGTGGCTAAATGAAAAGACTGATAACATCAAAGGCGGGTTTGAAGATGGCTGTGCAGCTGATACATTTTCCGCCTGTCAGTCCTGCCCTGGGCTTACTGTGAACTAAAAGGGCGGTTAGCATCATTTCTTATAGTCCCTTTTCATAGAAAAGTAAAGTGATGCAGTTTTCATTTTATTGCCTTTGTTTTTTTAAATTAATAGACCTTATTTTTCAGAAGAGTGTTAAGTTCACAGCAAAATGAAGCAGAAAGTACAGAGTTCCCGTGAACCCCCGTCCGCCCATGCACAGCCCCCCTCCCCACCAGGCGGTGAGCCTACCCCGCCTCGTCGCCGTCACCCAGCACCCGTGGTTTACGTTAGGGTTCACTCTTGGTGTTGGACATTCTGCACGTTTTTAAATTTCATCTAGAGTAGTATTTTCTTAAAACCTATAATTTTATTTTAGTTGATAGAAAGACAGTAAGTAAGTTGTCATTAAAACCCTCTGTGTGAAAGTTGATTTTTTTTTTAAGGCTCTGGCTTCTGGGCATTTTTTAATGTAGGGATTTAACTTACTTTGAACCAGTGGGGGGATTTTGGAGGGTCAGAAAGAACAGAATCAGGCTTCGTTTAGTAGTTGCAACACATGAGAAGGAGGGCTCGAATCAGACAGTCTCCGTTATCTGAAGGTGCATCCTTTCTGTCTCCTTCATTGTGAGACCTCAAGACCTGAGGCCCATCAGACGTAGAAGATTAGGCTGTTAACTCTTGGGCATTTCCAGGCACTCTCGCAGCCCCCGGGGCCAGGCGGGCCGGCCGGCATTGGCCTCACAGGCGAGGAAACAGGCTGGGGGGGGGCGAGGCCACGTGGCCCGGCCTCTGTCCCTGTGAGGTTCCCACGCACGTTTGTTACCAGGCAGTGGGTTTAGTCAGTTCCATTGCAAGAAAAAAACGTTTGCAATTTCTGCACTTTAAGAACATTCTGAGAAGTGGAGCTACAGGCACTTCCTGGGCGTCTCCTGCAGTGAGGCCCTCCTGCTTGTCCTCATCGCAACCTCGCCATTCGGGTCGGTATGAAATGTTTTACTCAAATGGGCACTCCAGTCTGAAGGACAGAGTCTGCTTCTCAGCTTTGAAGTGAAGGTGCGGCCTTGCCGTTTGCTTGCCCGTTGTTGCAGTGAGCATCTGAAGGCCTGGCCCAGGGCTGAGCGCTGGGAGCAGAGCCGGGAACAGGCTGGGGTAACTGTGCCGCCTCCTGCTGGCCTTTGGTTCGACTGGATTCCCACGGTAGTCCTGTTAGCTCGGTATCACCCCCATTCTACAGAAGAGGAAAGGGAGGCCCAGGGAGGTCAGGCAGCTCCTAAACCGCAGAGCCAGGACTGGAACCCAGGGCTGCTGTGCGCAGGGGCCAGCGGCTTTTCCTTGAAGGGCCGGTAGTAAATATTTCCGGCTCTCTGGGACTTCACGTCCGAGGCCCTGAGACCACCTGGGTGAGGTGTCGCCTGTAAAAGCAGCCATCAGTTGCTGACCGCCTCGCCCCCAGCCGCCCCAGTTGCTTTATGTCTGGGCTTTGAGAGAGGCTTTGGGGTGTTTGCTTAAAGTTGAAAAGAAATGAGTGCCTTGTGCCAGACTGAGCGTGTGGTGTCCTGTGCCCGTGGGCTGGTGCGCCCGCGCCCGTGCAGGCGAGGGCCGGGCGTGCTGTGCTTCTGCGTGCTCGCCGCTAGGTGGGGCTAGTGGACAAGCAGACCTGTGCTCCTCCTGGTTGAGGTTTTGAGAACCATGGAACCTTTAAACATCTTTAACCAGTTTAAGCTGTATTTGTAGTATTTTACCCACAAAGAGATTGTTGAGTGAAGCGTGTAGAATCGTGCTTCCCGCTGCCCCATCTAGGGAGCCATCTTGGCTCTGGGAGGCTCGGTCCAGCCAGTTTCCTAGTTGAGCATTTAAAGTGAGCTTGGCCTGGCTTAACCACCAGTCATTGAGGTCGCATTATGAAAACGCCTCTTCCTCAAAGTAGGGCCCCTCTTTTCATGTGCTGTGGTCAGGTACTTCAGCGGTGACTTAATTTGTAACGAGCCCAGGAAGACAGGAGTTACTGCAGGTGTCGTTAACCCACTCTGAAGGGACCTGAGTCAGTACCTTGTTTCTAAAGCTCATAATACAGCAAGAGCATCTTTTTAGGCGAGCTTTTTTCTGTATGTGTTCATTGAACAAGTACTTCCTGAGCTCTTCCTCAGGCTCTGGAAACAGAAAAAGGAACAAAGTGAAGTCGGGTCCTCAGGTGTTCTCGGGTGGGTGGGAGATGGGTCCGCACTGGCTGGGGCCGGGGGTAAGGTGGTCAGAGGTGGAGTGTGTGCTGCATGCCTGGCTCTGCCTGCAGGGACAGCGTGTGGCAGGATTTCACAGAGGACCTTCGTGGGCTGTTAATCCCTGCCCTGAATCTTGTGTCCTTTGGGTTCCATGCTGCTGAGTGGCACCACCACCTGCCCAGTTGCCGGGACAGACGGCTAGGAATCATTCTGGGTGCCTCCCCAAGTCCGGTCCTTCACCAGGTTCCGGGCATGTTATCTGCAGAATACACCTTAGACCTTTGTTTCCTCTCCGTTGCCGCTGTCCCCACCCAGGTCACCACTGGCTCCCACCTGGACACAGGTTCTTTTCTGTCTCTGTCCTGGCTCCTTCTGGTCCAGTCTCTGCACGCAGACCAGGCCTGAGGGCTTGTGCACTGTGATGTGGAGTTCAGGGTCACCTCTAGGTGCTGGAGAAAGTTGGGGAAGACTTGTCGTAGGGGAGAGAAGTGGGTGTGCTCTGACTTGCACTTTGGAAAGAGCATCTTCTTGGGGTGCTGAGCGTGGAGGGAGGACAGTGTGGGGAGGGCTGTCCACAGAGGGGAGGTGGGGAATGTTCATTCATTCTTCTGTTCACTGGTACTTGGGGTGCCTCCTTGGGGCCGTTCATATCAAGGCTGGGTGGGGACAGGTGAGCGCTCAGTCGTTTTCAGAATAGACCACGAGCAAGGAAACAGGTTGTTCCCAGGGTCCGGCAGTGCTGAGTGGGTGCTCTGATGGGTCCCAGGGACCCGGTGTGGAGAGGTGGCCCCCCTGAGGGGCCGATGCTGAACCTGGGAGGGGGAGGAGGTGGGAGCTCTCTGGGCAGAGTGGGCAGCCCGGCAGCTCTTCCCGGGGCCAGGGAGTGTAGGGTGCTCGGTGACAGCTCCAGGTGGGAGAGTGGGCGATGGGACGAGTTGGGGGGGGGCAGTGGGGCCAGGCCACAGGGGTGCTGCTGCACCTGGGGAGTTGGAGCCTGGCTCTGTGCAGTGCGAGGCTTTGCTGACGGCTGGTGTGGAGGGCGAGAGCTTGGCGAGCCGGTGCCAGGAAGCCCAGGGTTGTGGCCTGGGACTTGCCCAGAGGTACTTCATGCAAATATAGAAGCACGTTTCTAGTTATTACATTTGCGAAAATATAGCCAGTTAGGGACGCAGAAGAAAAGGAGCCCCTGACAAGAGAGGGTGGCTTCTTCCTCCATCTCTCCCGACTCCCGATATGTTGTGTATCGTTTTTGCGTGTTTGTCTTGAGGCAGCAGAGAATGTGTGCAAAGCGCAGGTAGTCGGTGTGATGGGGGTTCTGCCTTCAACACGGCTTCACTCTCACCCCCTTCCTGCCAGAGGTTTGTAGGGAAGGAAAAATAATTTTCCCTCTACCCTTCTGAGTTCTTGGCTGAGACCCCTGTAATAGAAAACAGATTAGCAAGAGAAAAACAAAAAAGCTTGTTAACCTGTACGCATGGGAGATACCCAGGGAAAAATGAGTAGCTCCCTGAGATGGCTGAGAAATCTGGCTTAAATGCCGTGTGTGTGTGTGTGTGTGTGTGCGCAATTAGGTTTACTTATTATTAGAGGAGGTGCTGGGGATTGAACCCAGGACCTCGTGCATGCTATGCGCTGTGCCACTTGAGCTATACCCTCCCCCCTTTAAATGCTGTGCCACTTGAGCTATACCCTCCCCCCTTTAAATGCCATCTTAATAGGGAAAGGGGAGGGGGAGATCGGCCTCCTAGGGGAGAGTCATTGGCTTTTAAAAAGGAAAGGTGGAGGGTCTTTAGAAGAGTAGATGGGAGGAGTGACCGCTTGTGACAGAGTCTGGGTGCGGTGTCAGCCTCCAGTTTTCTCTCCTGGTTGTTGAAACTCCCGGAAGGGGATTGGTGACAGCTGAGTTCCTTTTGGATGCTCTGTCTTCAGGCAGAAAAGGGGAGTTTAGAGAAAGCCTCTCGTGGCATGTGCTGTTATTCAGGTGCCTACAGCTCAAAACAGTATTCCAAAGCGGTGTATTTTGGGCTGGCAGATTCTCTGCCCTCCAGGTTATGAAATTGACACTTGAGCACTTGTTGTATACCAGAAAGTGAGCAATCAGCATTCACTCCAACATCTCACATTTACAAGGTCTCACGCGGCTGCGCTGAGCATACGTGTATTTGTATGTTTCATTTCAACAGTTGTCGGTGGCCCCCTCTTTGCTCTACAGGCCCCTTTAATATCCTCACGGTGTGCTTGGAAGGCCTCCAAGAGCCAAGTGCATTTTTGAATGACCCGCTGCAGAGTCGGCGGGGGTTGAGGGGAGCGGTTTGCTTGTTGGTTGGTTTTTAATTTGCGAGAGACCAGCCGCCGGCTGTCACGGAACGGTGTTGCTAGGTGGAGTCCGTGGCTGTCCAGCAGAGCCCATTAGGATGTGATGGTTTTCTGTGTTTGTTTCCAAGATCATTACAGCTACTCGGAGAGTCGAGTGGAAAGGGACGGGCTGATCCTCACCAGCCGGGGGCCTGGAACCAGCTTCGAGTTTGCCCTCGCCATCGTGGAGGCCCTGGCCGGCAAGGAGGTGGCAGCGCAGGTGAAGGCACCTCTCGTTCTGAGAGATTAGCAGGGCTGGAGGGGTAGGCCGTCCGTAATCATTCTCACTGTGTTCGCTCCAAACACAAAGCAGGGTCAGTGTGCCCCATCCCCACCCCCCGTGCAGGGGTCACCCGCCAGCAGCCCAGCGGTGTGTCCCCAGTTGTGTCCCCACATTTCTAAACCTTGACTGCAGAATAAATAGTGCATTTAGCAAACTGTTGATTGTTCCTTCTTTTCCCTCTGGTCTCCATTGTTTGGTGTGAAGCCAAATTATCAGCTTCATTAAACTGTTGATACTGCTACTGAAATAAACGAGCAGCAAACACATCTTACACGGCGAGGAGGAAAAGCGTAAAACAAAGATTTAAAAGTGCAATTTCTCTCCCACTCATTACCTGTATCTCTAATGTGCTATTAAAAAAATCCAGTGAAGTTGGCTGTACTGTGAATCTTTGTAAGCTAATTCCTCTTTTCATGTTATAGCAGAAGTCCTCAGTTGGAATTGAAAACCTCTCCAGGCCGGCGCAGCCCGTTTCCCTTCCTCGGCTAACAGCACCCCGCTGTTTCACCCTGTGACCGCCCAGCGCCCACGTGCAGGGCTAGGTCACACACCGGGGCTTGGCAGACAACCCGGCCCGGCCAGGCAGAGCCTCACGCATGGGTGAGAGCAGTCAGCCCATGCGCTCCAGCCCTGGGGCCTCTGCCGGGCCTGCCGGCGTGCGGTCAGGAGGACCTGCAGTGAACCTGGCGCTGCTGGCAGCCACCTCAGCGCTGGGAGGGGAGGCCTGGCCCGGCCCGAGGGCAGCTCCAGCACGAGAGGTGGAAAGCTTTCCTGACCCCAGTCGCTCTACCCCTGAAGCAGAGCAGCTTCTGCACTTGCCAGCAGGAGCCGGCAGATCCCCTCGGCTTTTTGTTTTCTCATCATTTATGAGTGACTGGTAAGATTCAGAGGACTAAGCAGTGGGCAGGCTTCTGCGGAGGGCGGGCCGAGCTACTGCTGAAGACGCCTCTGCGGTGTGGGCTCGTTGCTGCCCGCCCTCCCTCGCCCTCTTCCTGTTCCTCCTTCCCTTCCCTCCTGGGGTACTGTACCTGCATCAGTAAACTTTCTGAAAAGGCCAGGTGGTAAGTATTTTAGACATGGGGGCCGTAAAGTGTCACAAACACTCAGCTCTGTCCTGGCGACACAAAAGCATCAGGCAGTGAGGATGGCCGAGTCCAGCCACAGCCTTGCAGAGCCAGGCAGCGTGGGGACGGGCCCTGGGCCACGGTTTGCGCCCCATCAGGCAGTGAGGGTGGCTGTGTGCAGCCACAGAGCTTTATGGAGCCAGGTGGGGCCCTGGGCTGTGGTTTGCCAACCCCTGAATTGGAAGGCAAGGCAGGTGTTAATGGTTGAAAATGCAAGTGTAACTGCAGGTTTTGATAAGCACGCTGATGGTAAGGACGCCAGGGGCGAACAGGAGAGACTCTGGGAGGTGAGAATGGGACTAGATTTCCTCGGGAGCCGTCTGTGTGCCGAGCCCTGTGCTGGTGCTGGGAAGAAGCCTTTGAGAGACATGGTCTGTCCTCTTAGAGCTTGTGTTGTGGGATTCGGAGAGAGAAAAACAAAAATATCCATGTCCTAGTAAGAGAAGTGGAGTAAGAGGACAGTGATGAGGTGTTTTCTGCAGGGTGTGTAGTGGAGGCCTCTTTGAAAAGGGACCGGAGGGAAAATCTGGAGCGATCTGGCTGGGGGTGAGGCGGGTATCTGCTCAGAGCGTTCCAGGAAGACAGAGGAAGAGCAAAGGCCCTGAGGCAGGAGCACTGGGTGCAGAGGGCCCTTGCAGGGCTGGAGCTGGGGAGGTAGCTGAGCCGAGACTTTGGAATTGACACGGAGATGGGAACCCCCGGAGGAGGTCCTGATCGTTCTTGGTTCAGAGGCTCGCTCTATTGAGGGGACCCCGGGGGGGTGGGAGGAAGAATCAGCGAGAACAACGTCCACATTTCTCGCTTGAACACAAGGTCAAATGGGGGTTCACGTCCTGAGCTGGAGAAGGAGACCTTGGGGGCAGGAGGAGTGAGTGCAGAGCCTCAGGTTGACAAATTCAAGGTATCTATAAAGTATACCTTTAATAAAGGAAGGAAAACTCGGAGTCTGTTACTTTGGAAGTCACAAGTCACAGACGTGAGACTAATTCATTGTTAGTAGTGAGCCTTAAAACCTCTCGCAAGTTACCGGGGTGTCTCACCAGCAGCCCCTACCTCTGATTAAGCTCCCTGGAGTCTGAGTGATCGGCAGGAAGGGAACTGTTCACTAGATTAGCTCTTTGAATTTTTGTGGCCCTGGGGCAGCAGGAAAAGGTGGTTCCAGATGGACAGAAGGAAAGAGCATTTCTCGGAGGCTCAGTTTATCAGAGCCCCGGTGATGTAGTGAAGATTTTTTTCCCTGACAGTGTTTGGGGTTGGGGTTCCAGGACCTGCTTTATCTAAACCGTGGGCCTTTTCTGGCCAGGTCAAGAATGACTGGCTTTAGGCACATCGATAACATTTCAAAGCCTCCACCCTCTCTATCTGCTGGCTTCTTTTTAAAGCTAAACACACCTGCTCTCTTCCTTCTAGGAAGTAAGGGGTGAAGGGCTGGGGGTAAAAACAAAACTTGGGAACTGAAGAGGGAAGGGGCGCCGTCTACATTTCAGAGCGACTTGGACTTGAATTTAGGTGTGTGGCCAGTCCAGCTTGACCGGGCCTCCTCCTCAGCCGGGGTCACCCCCACTTTGGACATCATTTCCGTCACTCTTACCTTAGCTGTGGTTTCTTGAGCCCCAGTGTCTGCCCAAGGCCGCTTGGAGAGTCAGCAAGAGATGGGGCCTAGAAATCAGGTCTCACCCGAAGCCCAGCCCTCTTCACCGAAAGAACCAAACCCCCTTGCAGGATGTGGCTCAGAGCCCAGGACCGAGCGGCTCTTGGTCGTGGCTTTCCCGGCACTGGGCAGGGGAGGCCCGGCTCCTATCCGTGAGGCCCTGGTCAGTGTTCCTCCAGGGAAGTGACTGCCAAACTGCTCTTTCCAAAGGGGGCTACTGCCTGTGACTTAGATGTCACGGCGAAAACCCGGTGAGTACGTGGAGGCAGAGGGGGTTTCCCAGGCGCTAAGTAGCAGAACAGGGAAGGCCCAGGGCATACAGAGCACCTGCCGGGTACTAGTCACCCAGCCGGTGACTGATGTCTTTCACACGTTGTACAGAAGGGTCATGTTATCTATGTCACTGTTCTGCCCCTGCTTTTTCACTGATTATACCTTAGAGAGCTTTCTCTCTACCGGCAGGGGGAGATTTCTGTGCTAGTGCATCGCGCAACTCGGTTCTCCCCGCATCCAGGCTGTCATCATTTGCGGTAAAAAGAAGACAAAACCGCCATCCCTGTCCTGTGCTCTGGGATTGTCAGAGTATCAAAGGCAGCGACAGAGGGGGAAGTACATTTCTCAGACTGAAACAGCATAGCTGACTCTCATCTCAGAGTCTGGTTGTGGGTTCTACACTCTAGGCTGTTTCTTTGCTAAGGAGTGAGGAGAACATTACGTTTTCCAGAGGAATCATCTCACAGTGCTTTTTTTTTCTTTTTGAAAAGCCCCTGCCTTTGCCCTTGGTATGGGGACCTGGGCACACGAGGAGCGGTAGCGGATCAGGGCTGCTCACACACCTGCCCCAGCCTCTTTCCTCCCATGGGTGGGATCCAGTCGTGAGGTGCCCAGGAAGGGGCTCAGGAAATCCTGTTTGCATCTGAGCCAGGCACACGCTGCTTGCTCCTAGTGTGGGGTCCTTCTCGAGCCAGCCCTTCCCCCTCAGGAGAAGCTCCAGCCTCAAGGCCCCCAGGGCCAGGGCTCTCACGAGGCCGAGCCCCGAGGAAGGAGTCCCCGTCACCGTCACCCGCATCCCCACCGCCATCATTATCCCCATCACCATCACCATCTTCGCTTCCTGCAGCCCGCAGGGGCCATATCAGGTTCCCAAACAAGTCCTGGGCCAGCTGCAATCCATCGTGGAATCAGATGCGATCTCCCCTCCGGGCCTCACAACACAGCTGCTTTATTTTGCCTTTTCGGTTTTGCGTGTGATCGTGTACTCAGCTTTTCTCTTAAAAAAATTTTTTTTTTGTTTTTGTTTTTGAATTCAGCCTGCTCTTGGAGATATTTTTCCTTGGCTTAAAAATAACGTTAGAGTGGAAAGTTCATTGTCTTAAAAAAGAAAAAAATAAAATAAAAAGGCTGTGGGCAACAGAGCAACCATCGGCAGACACAGACCCTGGGCTGGCGATGACAAGAGTCCAGGGCGCTGCCTTGCAGGAGAGCCGCCGGGGTAGGGGCGCCAGACCTCAGTAAGATGCCCCAGCTTTGCTTGAGAGGTTTTTCAAAAAGCCAAGCGGAGGTGGGTGTGCCATTACAGAGTGTGTTTGGCTCAGGTTTCTTCTTTCAGGGGGAGAATAATATTTCACAGAGTTAACTGAAGAGACAGTTGTGCTTGGTTTTAAAAGACAAATGGAACGTAGCCAGCGTCAGTCCTGAATCCGTGCATCCTGAGGGTTTGTCCCTTCAGCTCCCGCCCCCTCCCGCCTGTAGGGTGCGGGTCTCAGGCCCCCGACGTGATGTGTGGTCAGTTTCACCAGAAGCAGACTTCTCCCGTCCGGCCTTGCTGAGTGACTGGCTCGGGTGTTGGGTAACGAGGTGGCAGTCTTGTTAGGGACGACTGGCCAGGTGAGAGGCAGGTAGAAGGTGATGGTTCAGAAACTGATAGTCAGGGCTTAGTAGAGCCTTGGACCGTCCCTTCAGCTTGCCTTAAGCAATGAATCAAGCAAGATTAATGCACAGGAGTGCAAGCAGGAATGCACTCACCCTGTTTTAATACTTGGTTACTCTTTGACATCCCTCACCCAAGAATGACGGGCACTCCGCGTGCTTACGACAGAGTAAATTACCTCTGGACTGTGGATAATACCATGTCATTAGTCCGTGAGGCAGCTAGCTCAGTGCCACTTGAGTCTTAAAACACTTTTTAAAAAATGTAATTATACGGCATGCATATTCCACAATTTATCCATTGTACTGTTGGTGAGCATTTGGGCTACTTTCCAAGCTTCCAAGATTTGCATGTATCTCTTGATACATGAGGACAAGAGTCCCCCCAGGTTGGACACTTTGTTGTGGATGATTCATGTTTTATTTTAGTAGCACTTGTATGTTTCATGGACCCGTTTGGCACAGTAGTGAAGTCTTGAGTGGCTTCTTAGAACAGCATTTTAAAACACACAGAATAAAATACATTGGACTGCAAGGGGAACCCATTGGATTGGAATAGAGTTTTCAAAATATTGAAAATACAGATTTGTGATGAAGCAATACATTTCCTTCTACCATTACATGGTAATATTTAGCAGTCGGTCTCATAATGACCGTAATTTTGAAG